TCATGCCAATTATAGAACCGTGTTTCCGTACAATTCTGCAATTATTTACATCGTTTCCACGTACGGACTGCACGAAGTAAGCCGACTCAGGCGACCGAATCTAGACAGGCTAAAGAGCAGCTAGGTTCAACAGACTCTGTGCGAGTAACGCGAACAGGCAACAGATAGCAGTCGAAAGTACTCCACAAAGTTAACCAAATACGAGGCTTCAGAAATGGATGAGTCACAGAAATCTCTGTCAGCTCCCGATTTGGACAGATATTCTCCCACGCTTGGAGACAATGACACCATCCTCGAATCATATAAGGAAAAGATACGGATTTTGGAGGAGCAGTTGAAGGAGAAGATTAAATTGGTCAGTCCAAAAGCAGTATTGGATACATCTCCGCCGGAATCAAAGCCCGTTGTTACCGGCGAGTCCTCAGTGCTTGGATGTTCGCCTCTTCTTGATCCAGAGTCTAAGCAATCACGCATTTCTGAGCTTAACCCTTTACGACACCCAGAAACTGCAAAGGCAGACTCTCATGATTGTTACCAGCGGCCTATGCCCCCTCAGTTTTCCCTTCCACAGCGGGAAATGCTGTACTTTGACGGAAACCCTCTCAAATATTGGTTGTTCTTAAGAAGCTTTGAGAGTGGAATCGCAAAAAGGGTTAGCGACGACGAAAGTCGGCTCTCTTACCTAATTCATTATTGCCGGGGTGAGGCGAGAGAAGCCGTTGAGAGCTGTGCCATCTTGGAGCCTAGCGAAGGGTATCATGAAGCTCTCAAGATCCTTAGGCGACGGTTCGGCCAGCACCACTCCATTGCCAGGGCCCACATAGATAATTTGATTGACGGTCCAGTCATAAAATCTATGGATCCTACCACCCTGATGAAGCTGGCTGGGGAGATGAGGAACTGCAAGAACACGTTAAAGCAGTTAGAATATTTAGCGGACTTAAATTCATCTAGGACGCTAGCTGCAATCGTCAGGCGACTACCTCAACCACTTCAATTTAGGTGGTCAGAATCCGCTTCATCAATATTACGCCTTGGAAGGGAGCCAACGTTCTCAGATCTAACCGAATTTGTCGACGACAGAGCTGATGTATTGATGGTACACCAATCCTACTCCTCAGGTCCAGTCCCAGCGCACAGTCGTTCTCTGGGCGATCGAGGACCGATGCATAAGGCCTATACGCATCACACACAAACTGTAGCAGTATCCACAGTACCTAGGGTCCCGACGCTGCGCCGGCAGTGTCTGCAGTGCGAGGAAGCCCATTACACCGATCAGTGTGGCATGTTTGTCGCCCTCAACCTGCCACAAAGACTAGCTTTCGTTGAACGTAATCGATTATGCCATTGTTGTCTGAAACCCAACCACGATGCCATCAACTGTAGGTCGCGCAAGACATGTGGTGTCGCGCGGTGCACCATGCGTCACCATCCACTGCTGCACCGGCCAGAAGACGGGGCTGGTGCGTCCCAAACGAAAGAGAATTCAGAGCAGAGTATTGAAGCAGCCCACTGTCTCACAACATACGGCGCAGACCAAGTCGTTTCTCTAGGAGTGTTACCAGTAAAAGTGTTTGGTCCTCTCGGTTCGGTTATCACATATGCTTTCCTTGATAGTGGCTCAGATAGTACTCTCATCGATGAATACTTGCTGAAACGATTAGGCCTCGTTGGCCGACCAACGGTGTTGTCAGTATCCACTGTCGTTCAGACAGCAGAAGTGAGTTCCGAAATAGTGGGTTTTCAGCTGTCTGCGATAGAAGGGCAGGAGCCACTGGAAGTAAAAAAAGCCTGGTCCGTTAGCCATCTTCCTAAGTTGAAGCGCTTTGCCCTAGCTAGAAACCAGGCAGCACGTTGGGAACATCTACGTGACATCGAACTCCCCCTTTTCGAAGGAGCGAAGGTATCAATATTAATCGGAATGAATGTACCTGCTGCTCACTGGGTACTCGAACATCGATACGGCGGACATGAAGATCCCTATGCAGTTCGTACCCCTCTTGGTTGGGTACTCATGGGACCAGTAACTGAGCAAGATCGTCGAGGAGTGAACGTTGATTTTTTGAGCGAGAAAGATTCCGTCATGGAAACGCTAGAACATATGTGGAACTTTGATTTTGGTGAGCCCAAACCTTTGGATAAGGCATATTCGGTTGAAGACAGAAGAGTTTTAGATTTGTTCAAATCCCATGCGCATCTGAAGCGAGGGCACTTGGAAGTCCCTCTACCCTGGAAGTTAGGTTCTCCCTGTTTGCCTGACAACGAGCTTGTTGCTCGCAGACGTTTATATGCCTTGAAAAACAGATTTCTGAAGAACCCGGAGTATAAGGAGCGATATGTTAAGGCCATCTCTGAATATATCAACAAAGGTTACGCAGAACCCGTTGCACCAATATCCACCGTCGTTCCCGGACAATTTTGGTATTTACCTCATCACTCCGTAGTTAATCCGATGAAACCGGAGAAGCTGCGAGTAGTTTTCGACTGCGCCAGCAAATACAGGGACACATCACTCAACCTCCAATTACTGCAAGGTCCAGACCTGGCTAACAGTTTGTGTGGAGTTTTGACTAGATTCCGCGAGTTTCAGTACGTAGCGGTTGCAGACATAGAAGCTATGTTCCACCAGATCCGAGTTCCGAAGGCCCAGCGTTCGTTTTTACGTTTTCTATGGTGGCCGAATGGTGACTTAGCACGAGAACTTGAGGTTTATCAAATGGCGGTACACCCGTTCGGGGCAACTTCTTCTCCATGTGTTGCTATCTACGCACTAAATCGGTCGATAGATCGGGTGGTAGACTTCCCCTCAGCGCACAATGTTAATTACTTGCGAAAGTGTTTCTATGTCGACGATTGCTTGATCAGCCGTGACTCCGCACAAGCCCTTAGGGATGTAGCTTCTCACTTGAGAGCAGCTCTGCAAACTCACGGTTTCCGTTTACATAAGTGGCGGAGCAACTCGGTTGAGGCCCTCGCGGACATCCCTGAGGAAGAGCGAGTCGACGGGGGAATCTGCCTCGATCTTAAGCCAGCCGATACCCACAGAACACTAGGTGTCGAATGGAACAAGTCTACGGACTCATTCAGATTCACAGTCAAGTGGCCTACAGAGACGATTACTAGAAGAACGATGCTCTCGTATATCTCAACCCTCTATGACCCACTTGGGTTCGTTGCTCCTGTTTTGTTGCCGGCCAAGTTGCTGCTGCAGCAGTTGTGCCGCTCCAATCTCGGATGGGACGACAGGATCGACGCTGAGCACGCGCGACAGTGGTTTAACTGGACGAAACAGTTTCAGGGTCTTAGCAGTGTTCGAATCCAACGCTGTTTGACCCCGGTCGGTTTGGATATTGTCGAGCAGTATCAACTACACGGTTTNCAAAGGGGCTGAGAACGAACTGAAGGAATTGCTGAAGAAATGGAACCAGGATCGAATAGCTAGCTCTCTTGCGGAGAAGGGATGCGATTGGATCTTCACGCCGCCGACAGCAAGTCATCGGGGAGGAGTATGGGAGCGCCTGATACGGTCCGTCAGACGGATTTTACGTTCAATTTTGGGTTCGCAAGTGGTCACAGATGAGGTCTTCGTAACAACCATAACCGAGACAGAGAAGATAATGAATGACCGGCCGCTGGTTAAGAACAGTACGGACCCGAACGAGTACGCTGTACTCACTCCCCAGCACTTTTTGCTGAGTACTCGGAACCTTTCATCATCTGTTGAGGAATGCAGTCCCTCTAGACTTAACAGACGGTGGCGGCAAGCCCAACATCTTGCTGATATATTCTGGAAAAGGTGGATCACTGCCTACTTACCATCGTTGCAAGCTAGACAAAAGTGGATCGGTGAGGCCCCGCAGCTCCGTATTGGAGATCTGGTCCTTGTGGTCGACAAAGGAGCGCCACGAGGACACTGGAAGAAGGCCATAGTGGAAAAGCTGCTCGAATCAAAGGACGGAAGGGTGAGAGATGTTGAACTGAGGACGCAACATGGGAAATTAGTGAGAGACGTGCGCAGTTTGTGCCTGTTAGAGAACCACGAACCAAGCGATGAATGATATCCGCGCCAACGACAGCCGCAAATTTTGGGTGGGCGTGTACGTTCCCACGTATGTTTTCCCATTTTTATTGGCACATTTTACCACATACTTCGCATTTTTTGTTTGCCTCGGAAAATTATGGCCTTCTGTTTTCCCCCAACCTTCGTACTATTTGTTTGAATCTCCCGTTTTTCATCCCGCGCAACTTGACGCTGCCCGTCTGACTATACGCCATCTTTCTGACTGTACGCCTGGAGACATTTGGTTGTAAGTGTAACATTTAAACCTTGATAATCATGCCAATTATAGAACCGTGTTTCCGTACAATTCTGCAATTATTTACATCGTTTCCACGTACGGACTGCACGAAGTAAGCCGACTCAGGCGACCGAATCTAGACAGGCTAAAGAGCAGCTAGGTTCAACAGACTCTGTGCGAGTAACGCGAACAGGCAACAGATAGCAGTCGAAAGTACTCCACAGTAGTTATGTACTTTGATCTTAGCAAAGCCTTTGACAAGATGCCCCACAGACGTCTTTTAGTAAAATTTGAAGCCCTCGGCATCCGGCCGCCTCTACTCGACTTCATCAGGTCCTATCTGTCCAACCGATATCAGAAAGTCATGGTCGGTAATAGCTACTCGACACCCCACTCGATCACGAGTGTCGTACTTCAAGGCACGGTCCTGTGTCCGCTACTCTTTCTTCTGTACATCAATGATATTTCGACTAAACTCGGAAATTCGCAAACTTTTACTTATGCCGATGACCTCAAGTGTGTTTACTCATACTCTAAGGACACCGCAAATGTTTGTGTTGAAAAAATTAATGCCGATTTACTACGCTTAAGCAGATGGGGTTCGACATGGCAGATGGAGTTTTCATCATCCAAGTGTAGTTTCATGTCTTTTGGTCCTACCAAACTTCCTGGTCCCATGATTTTTCAGAATAACCCACTCTCAAAATGCCTCACCATAAAGGACCTAGGTCTAAGTAATACAAATAAACTTGCTTTATCACCTCATGCAGATAGAATCTCTGCCAAAGCCGCGCAGATATGTGGATTCATATCGCATAATTTTTTCCTTCCGGAAATGAAGCTAAGACTTTATCAAATGTTTGTTCTTCCAGTCCTCGAATACTGCTGTCCTTTCTTCGGTTTAATGAACACCTGTGACCGTAATAAAATCGAAAATGTTCAGAGGGTTTTCACCCGGAAACTGTTCTCTCAAGATTCGTCCAGTATTTCTTGTACTCAGAGATGTCAGCTGGCGAACATTAAGTTTTTGTGGGTTAGAAGACTCGAAGCTGGCCTTTGCTTCCTTTTTCGCATCAACTCTAGCTCCAGTCTTCCGCTCATTGACACTCTCACTCCGAGAGATCGGTCTTATGCCACGCGCAACTCCTGCATGGTGATTCCGCCGCCTCTTTGTACTACATCTAAGCGCTCCCTCTTCTTTGCTTCCAAATATGCCTTCCTTTGGAATAATCTTCCGCCTGAAATTAGATTATCGCCTAAGTTATTGGTATTCAAGTCGAAATTACGCAAACATCTTACACCGGAAAGCATAAGGGCACTGTTAACGGTCTCATTCCCGAACACTCAGATTCTTGACTTCGAGAAGGGTCCTCCTGGGATTTAGTGGTAGATCTAGTGGTAACTCTTAATTATATCATCAGAAACCCC